ATAACTTGCAATTGCAAGTTTATATCTCACAATTCTGTGAAAAAAAGTCAGAATTGTGAGATAAAAAGTCGCAATAACCTTTTTTTTATTTTTTATTCAGTGGCAGAAACGGGCTTCCATACAAATCAGATTGGACCTTCAGTCTAATTATTTTGATCACACACAAAAGATGCCCTGTTCTAGTGCCACATGTGGCCCAATTTAGAGATGTTTGTGGTGGAAGACAGTGAGCTCAGAGATACAGGGGTCTCAACAATGTGTTTCTGGGTCACAAAACATCTGACCACATCTGTTAAATAGCAAATGAGCAGATGTAGGGCCAGTGGTGCAATTTCTCAAAGATAAACCAGGGTGACTGATTTGATCATGTGTCCCGCTGCTGTCTATGAGCCTGCCGAGCACATGTGCAGACATGAGCGGCGGCGATGCTAATTGAGCTGTACTTCTGAAGCGATGAGCGAGGCCCCACAGCAAAGCTACAAGCCAGAAAAGATTAGCGTTCCACACAGCCACAAACAGAATGCCTTTTGTTTCTCTCTGCTAATGAACGGAGGTTCTGAACGCTGTAGCCAGACTAGAAGCATTCAGAACCCGCATGAAATGTTAGTGAAACGCACTTTTCCAGCATATTGTGCCAAAAAGGAAGCGATAATGGCATGCTTGCCACAAAAATGTGATCAAATGATTTGTCATCGGGCTTTGTTTTGCATAAGAAAAATCTTTGGGTTTCTTTTATGTCCTTGCAAATTGGCTCCTAAAATATTTAAAAGCTCATTCGATCACCGAGGGCAGAAAATGCTATTGTGTGAGGAATCGCACAGGCTGTAGTCGCTCTGAGGCATTGTACATTACTAGATGTCCTGTTTTTGCTCAATTATAGGACTTTGTTTAAATAAAACAGGATTAGAATGGCATTCAAACACCGGCTTACCTTTTATTCTAGTGGCTTGGAGGGTAAACAAGAACAGAATGAGAAATAATCCTGTTTTCAATGGCATGTTGCAGTAGATTATGTCCTTTTGGATGTAAAGTTGCTCATTTGGAAAGAAAAGACAGTCCGTATCGACTTATCTCACATCCGAGGGTGACAGAGTTCATTTCCATCGATTATGTGTCCAGGCTTCCATGGACGGGGCTGTTTGTGGGCACTGCTGTAAGTTGGGTGGTATTCCTGACAGATGGTGCAGATTCTTGGTACAGATTTGGTCTCAAGTGTGTGAGTGGGTGGAAGATGCTCTGCAGGGTATGAGGGGAGTGATGAGGTTAAAAACTCTGCCTCTTTTTCTAGACTAATCTGTTTACCTCTCTCTGACTCCTAATCCCCGTGGGCCCATGTGGTGAACTATCCTCATCCTGTTAGTAGCCTTCTGGGCCAGCATCTGCTAGCCTTCTTGTTTCGGTCACAAGCCACTCGACTTGCCTACTTGTTCTGTTTCCAATCCGGCCGATACCCGTCTCTCTCAGTCTGGCCCACTCGACACAAGTTTCTCAGCCCTCTGCCAGCTTTTGTGGCTGCCAAGCTGAAACGCTGTATTCTACTCCCCCCGTTTGGGACAGCAAGCTCTGCCCTTTCTCTGATCATGGGGCCAGATCTGTGTACTGAGCGAGTGTTGTCGTACCCTTGTGGTGCATGTTAGTCCCCAGGCCTACTGCTTGAGCTGGGAAGAGGATTACACACACCCTGCTTATTAAATTTCACAGCCATAAATAAGTCTCCGCAGCTTGAAATCCATTCAAGATCTTACACAGCTCTGGACCGTGCACGTTGAACTTCCAACTTTCAAGAGATAATGAGAACAGGCTGGTGGCCGTTTGTAACCAGCAGAAATCCCTCTGGAAATAAGAATTTGAATCATTTTTACATAGTTAAGGCTCTGAATAAAGCTGCTCATTTTGCTTGTGGCCTGAAAAACAAAAAAAAACAAACAAAAAAAAAACTCTCTTCTGCACTGCATCTTGAAGTGTGGCTTTAAATTTATATAAGGACTAAAAAACAAACTACTACTAATTTTATATATGTATATGTTAAATTTAAAAAAGCATCAAACAAAACCACAAACAGGATAGTTTTTAATAAGCTGTATTTTTAAGATCAAGGTTGAGAAATATTGAAATTTACCATGGTAAAATATGTTCGATTTACTTTTATAAGTAATGGTTGTTCAGACAACGAATCATTTTTTTCAGTGTACCAAAGGCCCGTAGTTACATCAGTTATTGCTATTACTTTACAGTCATAGTAAATTATTTTATTTTTTATTGTGCCAACATTATTATTTTGCCATCAAAATGTTCTAGTAATGGTTGCAGTTCCAAAATTCTGAGACCACTAATGAATATACTTTTTCTGCACTTTTTTTGTTGTTGTAATTTTCTGATTTTCCACTGCAAATTGTATATTCATCAGAATAATATGAAACGATCAATTAACTATGGACTCCCCAAGATAAAGTGTAAAACCTGATGTTCCAAAATGATTTAATAAAGATCTAAAGAACATATTGGTCTTCAATGGAAGTAAGAACAATAAATCAGTCAATGTCACAAACTACCTACTTATTTGATTAGTGACTTATGAATAGTGCAGAATCTTAAATATTTCATATTTATTTTTATGTCATGATGTTTCTTTTTTCAAAATATTTAAAATTCTTTCAGCTTATTTCCTACTTTAAATCAGGTTTTAAAATGCATTTAATTTTCAAATTTAGACCCCAGATTTTCAATATGGTCTGTGACTTATTAGACAGTTGGACCCCATTGAACATTCAGGACACCCTGACCAGCTGCTTTCATTTTCTGCTTTTAAAACAGAATTAGAGGAAAATCCTATTCTGACTAATAACCGCAGCTCAATGACAAATCTCTGCAATGCGGTTTTCAAATTCACCTGTCCAATAGTGGAGTTAATTCATCTATCTTGATGGCAGGAACAGTCCAGGGATATAGTACGGACAATACTTATGCGGTAATGCAAGAAAGTCAGGAAAATCAGTCGGCCGACCTTTCTACGTTTAATTGTCTTCGGGAGCCTGATTCTATTAAGAGTGGTAAAAATGAGCTCAAATGCAAAGCAGGCTGACCTTCTCACCTATGCTAATGAGTTCCATCACTGACCAATCAAAAGGGTGAACTTCAATTAACCTGGAGTGAGTGACTGTCCGGGCAGCTGTCTGGAGGTCGTGGGTATTGCTTTGGCTGGAGATTGAGCTCATGTCATGACTGAGTTATCAAACTCAACCTACTTATTTTGCAATGCGCACTCGAATAGTGTTTTCAGATACTCTGTGATTGATTGAGCCCTTCTTGTCGGCAAAAGTGGGTGAGACGAAGAAAATCAATCACGTTATTGAGCTCAATATATCATACGTGCAATGAAAAGATCACACAGACCGAACACAAGATTGTGAGATTTGTATAGATCTGGTTTTATAAATGCTTTGAAACCACCAGGGGGCAAACTTTAATTAAATTAAACCTTTTGTGTATGTGTATGTGTATTTGTATATCTAACAGAAAAACAAATCCTTTAGCATACATTCCTGCCTGTTGTAGATCTCCATTACGGAACTAGATTGATTCATGGTAGAAATACTTTTCTCTGGTGTTCAGTTTATAAACGCATCACATATAAGTTTATATAAGCGTACAGTGAATACAGTGCGTATGTGATATATTATGTTCGAGCTCATGTCATATCTGAGGAAAGAAGTCATTGAAATGCACTTTCACTCGAGCCATTAGTGAATAGCAACTCTGATTGCTTAGATAAATGGCCGGCTGTCTAGAGTACATGCAAGGTGAATTGTAAACAGTGGAAATTGTCCTGAATATGGCCATCTGTTCTGAAAATGAGAAGCATAATAGATGCTGTTACAGTCACCATAGACTGACATCGGCATGAACTGCACTGAAGTCACAGAAATCTCCTGTTTTCAAACAAGCCATCACACGGCCTTGCAAAATGCTTTTTCCAGCGGTATATTTATGACTGTGCACAGTGAAGCCACTCTAAATCTATATGTGCCATGAAGAGCCGAGATGTGCTGCCCCCAGGAAACTTCAGCAGACCAGAGTAATGACTCTGTGCTATGGAGAGAAGAATTTCAAATCTGACTCTCACTCCTAGCAGACCAAATTCAGCGTCCTTGAAGATTTGATGTCATGAACTAATGCAGAGTCATTGACCAAATGACATTTCCACATGCTGGTGTAACATAATGACAGTAGAGTGTTTACCGAAGCCTATCATATTTAATTTATTTTAATACCATCGTTCCGGTTGCTTAGCCATTGCGGTTTTATTATGAACAGAAAGTTAGGCTGAACTGACATCGTTTTTCCAAAAAGTGAATGGGAAAGTCTTAAGTATCTATAGCCAAACACACTTGAGTAAAAGTAAAAAATGTTTTGTCATTTTGTTGTATGTAGGTATTTAAAAGCAAAAAGACGTTTGAAACTGAATGATGGAAGTAAGAGACGGTAGAGATTTTCACATTAAAGTAACTTTGATGCTCTAAAAGGAACCTGTTCAGTTGCAGATTTCTCATGTGTAAAGCTCAAGGGCAAACCACCTGTCTGGTGAACGTTAAAATCAGCTTTATAGTAGTTTGACTGTTTTATATACAGTAGTAGTTTAATATAGTAGTGGTGAGACAAATCTATTTACAAGGACAAATTACCATAGTTATGGCTGTTCGCATTTTACATGTGAAGATTTTGAAATTACACATAATGATTTGTACGTATATACTACCATAAAAAAAATAAATAAATAAATAAAAAAAACTGGGGTCAGTAAGACCTTTTTTTTTTTTTTTTAAAGAAAGTCTCTTATGCTCACCATGGCTGCATTTAAAATACCTGTTTTCTATTTTAATATATTTTAAAATGTAATTTATTCCTGTGATGCAAAGCTGAATTTTCAGCAGCCATTACTCCAGTCTTCAGTGTCACATGATCCTCCAGAAATCATTCAAATATGATGATTTGGTACTGAATCAATGTTTATCACTGTTGAAAACAGTTTTTCAAACTTTTTATTTTGCTTGATATTTTAGTGGAAACTATCATACTTTTTCAGAATTCTTTGATAAATAGAAAGTTCAAAAGAACAGCATTTATTTTAAATTGAAATATTTTGTGACATTATAAATACCATATATATATATATACATAAGGTATTTATAATGTCACAAAATGCCTCCTCATTTCAGAACACCACCGCACACCACTGAAAGAGTCAGTTTTCTCAGAATAGAAGCGCTGGTTTGCTGGTTATGTTGCAGCACTGAAACTGCTACACATCATACGTTTAATGGAGGAATATATTTCCCCTGATACAGCATGCTTACTAAGGTAGACCAAAACTTAGCTTTCCATAAATGAGCATGTTTCAAATCTCTGAGACATAATTATATCTATGAATGTCACATCATTTATCCTGATAAGAAAAAAAAAACACAATTTCCCCATGGACATGATTTGCAGTAGCTCTTACAATTATTGAGATGCATTAGGGGATATTTTTTTCTGCCATACAATGCAAGTATAGACATTTTTATTTCATAGATTTATGTAACAAATAACCCTGCTGAAAAACAAAGAAAATCTTTAGAGCAAAAACAAAATGCAAAATGGACCTCATCTACTTTGATGACATTGGCAACCACAGCTGCCAAAATTATTTTGTAAAAACTACAGAATTTTTTTTACAGTGTACATGTGGTATTAAAAGTCACCCCATTTGTCATAACTTGATGTCAATGTTGTTTGATGTCATTATTGCAATATTCTTCTTCTTTTTTTTTTTTTTGCAACTGTAATAATTTAAAGGGATAGTTCACCCCGGAATTAATATTTGATCATTTACTCACCCTCAAGTTGTTCCAAAACTGTGTGAATTTCTTTCTTATTGAACACAAAAGAGGATACTCTGTAACCAAACCATTTCAGATAGCCATTGACTTTCATAGTATTTTTTTCCATACAATGAAAGTCAATGGCTACCAGCAGCTGTTTAGTAACCAACATTCTTCAAAATATCTCATTTTGCGTTCAACAGAAGAAAGAAATTCATGCAGGTTTGGAACAAGTTGAGGATGAGTAAATTATATAGATTTTTGGGTGAACTATCCCTATAAGAATCAACATTTCAATAACACAAAATGGTCAAAATCTATCATCTGAATATCAACTATGGTTGTTACAGCTATGACTACAATCATTTCACATTTGATCCGTTCAGTTATGCTAACCACATTAAAAATCAAGTCTCTTTGCTATGCAGTGACGCACAGGCACAATCAGAATTGCTGACGCTGCCAAACCATCGATGTGAAGGGATTATTGTGTGATTATAAGGATGACCTCTACATTTTATATGTAAATGATTGTAAATGAAGAGCAGATATTAATTTACCCATCATGCTGACTTCCTGTGTGAGCATTTTCCCCAGCAGATTTGATCTCCTATTTTTATATCCCTATCTCTATATTGTATCTTCAGCTGT